TATAATAAGGACGAATTCTTAATTAAATGGAAAGAATACCCACCAAGCGATAATAGTTGGGAACCAATGGAGGGACTCGGAAACGCCACAGAATTAATCCACGACTGGTGGAGCAACAATAAAGAAGGAGACCCACCAACGATACTCCAAATAACCATGTGTTGGGCACCAACGATTCCAGAAACAAACAGATAGGAATATACGCCATGGACACCCAAGGGATTCTGGGCACCATACAGTGACGAGGAATTCTCTCCTGGAAATGCAACGGAGGAAGACTCAGAATCACCCACACCTTCAGAAATCTAAGCGAGACCCACACATATCCTACACGAAACCCACGCACCCACACCTTCAAAAATCTAAGCGAGACCCACACACATCCTACACGAAACCCACGCACCCACACCTTCAAAAATCTAAGCGAGACCCACACACATCCTACACGAAACCCACGTACCCACACCTTCAGAAATCTAAGCCAGACCCACACACATCCTACACGAAACCCACGCACCCACACCTTCAGAAATCTAAGCGAAACACATACACACGCACCTGGCACAGAAACCAGGCACCTACGCACCTGCCCAGAGGCACATAAAAGGAGCACTTCGCACCTATATACCAGGCAGACACCAGCTCTCCCACCGCACCGCGATCCAATCACCCCCTACAAACATACCCTACTATACCTCACCCTACTATACCTCACCCTACTAGACCTACCATGCATAACTCGGACTTCACAAGACTCAGCAAGAAAGACTCATACCTATGGTGACTGAATTTTAAACGCATGGGTGACATACCCTCCCTCCAAAGACGGCAAGCAATCTACATATTCTGTTGCCTGGGATGCAACCAAATGGACTGCAAATTCACGAGCGCGGTATGGAACCCGTTCAAAAAAGCCTATCGACGAAAATGTGCCCCGGCATTTTTCACCAGCTATACCTGCAGGGCCTGCGCCGGGCCAGACCAGGATGACACGTGTATTGGGGGACCGGCATGTTTTTACAACTGCCAGTGCCATTCGGCCTTTGAAGATGATGAGCTTAGCGAGGCTCGGAGGACGTTTCTTTCTTTGTTTGGTTAAGTTTGTTATTGTTTGGGGAATTGTTTTGTTTTGGGAAATGTAACCGGAGCTGGTACTCGGTTAGTTTGTTTTATGTTTTGTTTTAAGTATCGGTTGATACTTAGTTTGTTTTATGTTTTGTTTTAAGTATCGGTTGATACTTGGTTATTTTTATGCTTTGATTGAGTAAGAACATGAGTGAGAATTCATGATCGTACTCAAACACATGTACTTAAAAAGACCGCCGTCTTCCACTCTGGAAACGGCAGACTTCGACAAACAGTATTTTAATATACTCCGTTGAACGGTTATCATTATTCTCCTATTACACCACCGAAGCCTCCCTTAGCGAGCCTAGAAGTTGACAGTCTCCGGTAGACGACACTTCTCTCCTATTGTACCGACAGCGTGATTAACGCCCCGGCGTGAACACGTTACAACTATATCCTTGATCACCTTTTAGATGACTAGAAGAAGACAAATCAGCTTAACCTTTGTGAAATACTAATCTCAAATGCCTCAGCAATTGCCGAAAACTGAATTCTGGTTACAAGAGCAGTGGGTGAAGTGTGAGATGAGTTTGGAAAAAGGCATCAAAAGCTTGTGGTTGAAACTTTCCAGAAATTGGGTCTTACATTACCGATAGATGGTTCTTGTGATCATGAGTTATCTGTTAAGGATATTAACTCCTCACATCTCCAAATTGGTGATTGGAGAAATGGGTTGAATAGCCCGTCAGATGGAATAGTTCGGGTAAATGGGAGTGGTCAAGAAGTCGAATTTGTTGATAGAGAATAAATTTGTAGACATCCGGTAGTGCAACACTATGAATGCCATATACGAGCAAACTCACAGTCAGAAATTTTTATATCCGATAAGCTCACCACACCCTCACAATATATCCACATGCCCACGCTAAGTACTAGTGCAATTTCCAGTATTGCTAGATAATGCGGTATTCCACGTCAAAAGGAAAGTTTTAATATCGTGGCCAGTTTCACTCTGCGGTACCGTGCTGCGCGGGAGTATTACTCGAGTACTCGAGTCGAACGTGAAACCTGTTACCAAGCAGCGATCGGGTATCATACCTGCTTACGGTCCAGGTTAGTATTCAACAATAATACTCTTGGCCACTTCCGATTACAATTTGCTGCACTCCGGGTAGTCTATAGGATCAGTTCTTCCACTTTTATAGTCGAAATGTTTCCAAAATAGAATGGTTATTTCCCACCGCCCCAGATCCAAGAAAAAGGGCCCAATTTCGGCCGTATGCAATTGTAATCCTTTATGAAGAACGCCGCCATAGCACAAGTATTATACATCTAGTATCATAATGATGAAGGTGAATGCAGAGCACGGATGAATGAAGCAACACAAGTGCGATGAAATGCAAGAAAGTGAGGAAGGATGATGAAAGAATAGATGATAGTGAAATCTAACGATGAAAACTGATGGTCGAAAACCTTGCCTCTAGCTAAGGACAGAATGGGAGATATATATCTCCTAAGCAACCAAAACTCCGGAACTCCAAGGAAACACCATGAACACAAAAGAACTACTCATCCTGACGAACCATGATCCTCCGTGCTCCACAACAATCTAAGCTCTCATGAACCTCTATCTAACAAAGAACCAGATGCCTAGAGGCATCAGGCGTGAAAGAAACCAAACCACATCACCAATGCCCTATGGCAACAGGAAACATCATCAACAAGAAATCCAACAGCTAAGCCGTAGAAGCATGAGCCATCTATCCGCATCACAACCAAATCACATGCCCGATAGGCACTCCAACACATAAGTCGACACGATGGCCGGTTTTCCCAACAACCCATCACTGTCTTTAGAGGGCATAAACTGCCTCTCCTTCCCAAAGCTAGGACTTCCCAAAGTTCGGCGCATCCTTCGCCATTTCTTGGACCGTCTCAAAACCAAACTCCCGCCTCGGCAACAGGTCATAGATCCCGCGGGCATAATCGGGCTTGACGCAGTAGCATTGCGCAAGATATTTCATCTGGATAAGTGGATATTCCACCAATCCCAGGGCAGCAGCGGTGTTTTGGTGGAGGTCAACGCGCTCCTTCTCGCTCATGACGTGGGAATAGAGCTCCCGCGTTTGGTTGTACTCTTGAGGCTTGCCTTGAGAGTAGTAGCGAGATTGGCGGGAGACGACGTTGTCGGATACCTCGTATGGAACTTCGGGAGTGCCGGGGCGGAACCTGTTAGCAAGGCTATCGGGGAAATACTGCGGGGTCCCCCCAGCGCCGCCGCCGCCGCGGAGGGAACCGCCGAGGTCTACGCCCGCGGGGGAATGGGACGTGAGAGGGCAGTTTACTCGGTGATGTTAGCATGAAGAGAGAGGCGGGAAGAATGCACCTTACCAGGGGCCTGATCAAGATTGTCGCCAATACGGTGATACTGAGCATCACGGTATAAGGACATTCTGAATTTGAGGAGTTCGTCCTGACTTTCCTCGATACCAGGGACCATACTTCCGGGTGAGAAAGCCGATTGCTCCACATCACGGTGATAGTCTTCGGGGTTTTTGTTCAGGACGAGTCTTCCAAAATCTTGCACCTACCACCAGGTCAGTAGAAGGTACAGACAAAACACTCTTTTCTTCAGGGAGACCAACAGGAAAATCTTGTTTCGGCCAAACCTTTGTTACGTCGAAGGGATCGAAGCCAAGCTCCACCGGGACGGCCTGTTCGGGTTTCATAATTTGAACTTTGGCCGTCCAAGTAACCGGCTCTCCCTTCTCAATAGCTTGCCAAAGATCCCTTTTAGAAAAGTCGGGATCCTCGCCTGCAGATTCTTAGACAATCCTCGGCGAGTATCAGCGAATTTTGGGACTCACCACAAGCCTGCACAGCTTCTTCCCGGGTAAACTGATGAACGCCCTGATCACAGATAAAGTGGTACTTTATGTAGACATATTGGCCTTCCTTATTAACCCTACCCCCCAGAAACAACTTAGTAAATCCCTTACACAACAAGAATCGCCAGATACACACCATTTGAAAGTGTGACAGCCAAACCCGTGCATTTTCCGCCAACCTTTCGGATGCCCGTGGTTACTGAAAAGCATCATCGCGGCATGGTTGCTTATTCTCCACATCAGTCTCATTCCAGTCTCCTCGCACTCGCGGAATCGCACTCACCTTTCTGGAACATTAGCCAGAAAGTCGAAAGTAGCGTTAAAATCCAACAGGAAGTTTGCAGGGTTGCGCTGTTGAGACCGAATGGCATCCAGTCCTTGCATTGGGTCTCGACAGAAGAAAACGGGCTATGTGAATAGATGTTAGTATCAACCCGCCCATTGAAGGATACAGGCACTAACCCAGTTAAGTCCAACAATGTCATAGTTTCCCTCCTTAGTATAGTGTTTAATGGCGAAGCCACGAGGGTTTCGTCCCTGGTCTGGGTACTCTTTGCCCAGTGTCGCGGTTGAAAAGCGCATGAATATCGGCGTTTTCTTCCCCACCTCGTTGTACAAGTCGGCCTGTCACAGTTAGGCAAGGTTGTATGAAGGGGGGTTTGAATATTCTCCATACCTTAGTCAGCTCCGACATGTCCTTGGTGCACTCAAAATACCCAAAGGCACCAGATCCGGCCGCATGTGCCACACCTATCCCATTCGTAAATCAGACAGCGATAAAGAAGAAAGGAGATATCATAAAGCTTCCATACGTTCTAGAGTTTTCGATCTGTTGAACATCTGCTGTTTCTGGAGCAGAGATGGATCAACGCCTGCTGCTCCCAAAGCAGATGCAGGAGCCTGGGCAGGATTTGCGAAGGGATTGTGCGAGCTCTTGCTGGTCATTTTGATCTCGTGATATCATTGTAGATAGATAGGGGGGTACAGTGCAACTGTAAAACTGTAACAATAAGTCAAAAGTGATTCCAAGTGGTTCCCCAGCGATTAAATAAACTATGGCCCTTCCCACTATTCGAGTACGTACTCGTGATGTACTCCTCCGTGGAGTGTGGCATATCCCCTTGCATGAGCGTAATGGGCGTCATGGGATTGCGCTAAAAACACAAGCGCAGCCCCTCGGTATCATATGAATTGCTTCGATATCAGCACCACCGTCCCCTCCTTTGTTCTCGAATTTCACAGCTTTTAGGCAGGCAAACTATCACAAGAGAAGGAAAGCGGATCGGCGGATGTGGGAGAGAAAAGAGTATAAGGCGAGTCATGAGCAAGGAAAGGGGTTGAGATTTTGTGACCTCCAATAGCGGTCTGTGATCGAACTTGAAGACTTTTCCTTCTCCGGTATAATGCCCTAAATGGCCCAAGACAACAGCTAAATCAATGGAGGGAACGCAGTTTGACGCCAAGGGAGCACTCGACCCAGCTAGCTAGTGGAGTCTTTACACAAGTTAGGTTACGGTAGTGGGGAAAAAAGGCCGCTTAGTTTGTACGAGTATTGGCGGAACAACGGCCAGGCTGCCTTTGCCTAAAGGGGCCCTAACACCATCTATCCGAGTAAGCCTCCAGCAGATACCCTGGGTCAGAAAAATCTGTCGGCGGGGCCACGGCCAGAAGACTTCAGCTAGGCCACTTCAAGCCAAGTATCCTTCCTGTTGGAATCTATTACGATAGTGTGCTGCGGTTGGCCACGGAAGACATGGGAAGAATGTCAAAGAGTAAAGTTGTTTTCTAGAAGTTATAGGGTGCATTCCATTGTTTGGAAGCATTATAGATTTGTTGAAGGTGGGAGAAGGATTCTGGAGATATCTCTTTTCTTTGTTATCACGGAAGTGAGCGGAGGAAGTTGGGCATGTGTGGAATCATAGAGATGGGTGCAGCGATCCATCCCCTTGTCGGTATTCAGGACCTCACGCCCAAGACGAATAGGGCCATAGTCTCGCAACTTGAGGGAAAGATTAATTGACTCCTTGGGAGTCACAAATTCCATTGGCCAGGTCACCATTGAGCAACCCCAGCCATCCTTTCATGAGCCTAGTCCCTGAAGATCAGAGGACAAGTTACGCGCTAAAAGGTCGTGAAACCCGGGAACGAACAAAGGGATAGAAGCTGCACTACCGAGAACTGTTGTCATGGTGGGATGCTAACTGGTGCCAATACTTGGTTAAACTATCTTGTTACCCGGACAAATCTCACGTATTCTCGTTCAGTCCATGATGGAGGGGTGGGCAGGAAAATGGCAGTTTTGAAAACGGGTCAGACCAAAAGATCCAACCTTGGAATTTGGAGGCCTATTTTGTGATGTCAAACCCTGCAGTTTGTGCCAGGAGAACACCACCGCTCAGTTGATCCTTTAAGAACCACTAATCCTTGTATTTTGGCCTCGACTCTGCGACGGCTAAATGCGCCCTTACTTATGCACTACCCATTTACCGATTAGTTAGTATGAGAGCGGAAGAAGGAAGGATGAAGTACCGGTACACACTACTCGAGTACGAGTAGTTATCCCACCACAGCGAAGTTCCATTCTATTCCGTTCCTTTCACCCCTGCTCAATCTGATATCACCCTCCGTCACAAGACTTTCTAGCTTTTGAACTAAATCCCATGAAATTCGGCATACAGCACCCATGAAGGGATAGTCTAAACCGTCCAACATCCACACCCCCCCCCCCCCACTTCGTTCGGTAACCGCAACCCCGTGACGCCAGTACAACGCGGCGCCCCCCCCCCCTAATTAGATGCCAACACTTGTTTCCCTCGAGACACGCAGGTTTGGTCTACCCGTAGAGAATCGGTCATTATGCCCATCACCCCCCAAAAAACTAGTGAGCCAGAGGTAGATAAGGAAATCGTAACATCGTAGGGGCGTGCTGATATTTGGGCTCTCTATTCCACGAAAGAAACGAGGAACTTTCCACCCCTTCAATGAGAAAACATAATACTTGTATGGAGGCTCGCGCTTTGGAACGAAACCGGGAATCGTGGTAACGTTCCAGCAGTTCAGCATGTGAACGGTGCTGTCTGTGCTACAGTTTTAGTAGGAGCTCCGGGAGATGGTAGGGTGCGGGGTAACTGATAGAATAAAACAGTCACAGATGTGTAGTGTGAAGAAAGAAAAACATTTCAAGTCAAACGTGACAATCAATAGATTTAAGAAAGCTTTCGAGAGCGATGTATAACCATTGCGGTCTGGTTGATCGTTATTGACATCGTGCACTGGGGCCAGTGGCCGCGCCGCCCCTGCGTGCCCACGGTGCGGGCCGGGGGAGAGTGGTGCCATCTCTAGCAAGCAGCTATATACCTCACAACCTCCTCATGGCCGCATTAACAACCCCACAAGCATGGCGTTCGGCCATTGTGGTCTGGCATGTCGGGAATGATATCGTCTCTCGCGAGCAGTAGTCCCATAACCGCCTCATGCCCATTATAATAAAGGACATCGCCCCTGGGGAGGTTATCAACCAGAAGCTCTTCGACCTACTCAGAATTCAGATAGGCCAGGAAGGTTTGCGCAAGCGTTATGTGGGCATGAGGAAGGAGAAGTAGGAAGGGTATTATTGAAGTTTATAGTGGATTAACCGGACCGTTGATATCCTCCTACCAGCTGCAACAAGCCCTAAGCATGACTCGAGGACTGAATCCTGAAGGCAGATTCTTGATGTGTAGTCCCCATCCCGACCGCCATGGCATAGCGGAGTCCTTCGATGCACAACCGCTGCTCCGAGTGGGATACCCACATCAGTGCCTCCACCCCTATCCCTCACTCTTCTGTGCCATTGCCCGCCGCGATGTTCGGGCGTGCACGGTGTCGAGGTCCCCCCTAATCGTCTCCATTCCTTACAACATTTCCATTCTATTCGCTACGGTGGTCAGTCCACAGATCGCACCGGTATCCAAGATGACAATATGGCAAGTAGGAACCATTGTGAAAGATGAATAATTGTTTCGTATCTACAATAAGACCACTACTACTCACATACCCCCTCTATTTTCCAACATTTCCTTGCTGATATCAACTGTGAGATGATCAGGCGCCAAGTCTGGATCTCGGTCGTGGTTCTCGTCGATATTTTGGCTTCTGTATCCGGGAATGTCTCCTTGGTCGGCTACAATATTTACAAGATAGGCCCCATCCACTACATGCTCGTCGGAATCCTCGCGGGTATAGGACCCCTCTGTGGGAAATAGCCGGATATTCAGTGCGTCTCGAATAATCTATCGCAATTCAGGGAGAGACTCAGATCAGTTCTGTGGCAGTAACTCATCCACTACATCGAAGCAGATGCATACCCGTTTAACGGAACCCCTTGTTGTGACGAATGATTTCATTTCGCTAGGAATCCCGGTGGCTCCTGAGGCAGCCTCGCTGAGTAGACCCCTATCATGTTTTCAGCCGATTAGTCCTTCCGCGCCTAGTAGTTGCGATGGGGGGATAAACCGGCAATGTCCTGTCCAGAGCCCGCCTCGCGCAGTGGGTCCATTACCAGCGAACTGATTTCATAACTTGTTAGCATTGTTTATAGGGTTTGAGGAGCAATCTTGTACCATACGTAGGTCTTCCCAACCATTTGGCCTTGATAACATGGCAAGGTTGGATTAACCGAACTGCTTTCACTCTTCCACCATGGTTCAGGCTTGCCCCGCTCTGAAACCCAATCCACAGGACCGACGGGAACTCGCATTTCAATCGCCGCTATCGGCATCGAGCGACGGCAACCACGCCCGGATCAGCGAAGCCTCTTTGCTTCCTATCGCGTCGGTGGAGTTATTTAGCCATTCGGCACATTCACAGCACTCGAATCCGTGCCACTCTTGATCCTGCTGGTCGTGTTAAAGTTAGCACAGGTGTACGGTATACCATGCTTGCATAGATGGCCATCAATATTTGATGCCATGCTCCCCGCCGGTAGATCACACTTGGACATGATGGATAAGATGCCTTGGCTGGTAAGGTGATAAAATAACGGCACTGTCACCTACCAATGAGGTTGATGAAAATTTCCTTGTTACAGGCGGGGTAGAGAGGGGATTGATTCCTTTCCTATAACAGTTGGTGATGCTTGTTTCATAACGCAATAATTACCAGTTATTTTCATACCAAGAGAATCAGTTCTAATACAGTATAGTACCACACCCCCTGATCCCTCAGTCTACTACCGGTACTCGAGTACTGCCTATGCCCCATAAGTTCTGTTCTCTCCAAGGCCAGGCCACGTTCACCTGCCCTTGCCACGACTCCACAATTCATAGCAGGAAATCTGAATCTAGAATCGCAATACTGCTGGCCCTAACTCCGGGACATTCTGACGGACTTCTCACACTAGAGGAAAATTTTCCGGATTCTATCCCCAGTTTCAGTAGTGTTTTTTTCTTTATTTTCTTCTATGTAGCACGAATAGTTGCAGGTACCTGCAGAAGCCTTGGTGAGGTTGATTCAGGTTACCGGTAATCTGCTAAATACTCTTTATCTTGTGTGAGAGCAAGACCAGGATGCCGGTGCCTCTTAACGCGCGGGTACTGCTTCCAAGGTACAGAAGCAATTGTTTCAATTATTTCATTCAAATAATGGACCCAAATATCACTTCACTCGGGTGAGGGGGTGCTATGTTTTTGGGCGGTAAACTCGGTGCGCTTCCCCCTTGAGGGAGCCACGTCCTCGTCAGCATGGGCAGCAGAAGTATTATTCCTGTGGCGGGAAGCGACCTCGATACTCGAGTGCATGCATGGCAAACTAACGACACCCTTCAAAGGGGGGGAAGGGGAATACCGGCAAGCGATGAACAAATATTAGTGCCGTATTTAGTACGTAAAATGGTGATGTGATGTCGTTAGATTAGTGTAATCAAGATATCTTCCGATCACCTTTGTTTGTCACCCTTGGGCTTTCGTTGTGCCACTATTGAAGGATGTAGCATTACCACATTCATTATCA